CCCTGCGGCACCCAGAGCGGAGATTGATCTCCATCCTCACCCCTGGGCCTGGCTGTGGCCGGCAGCGGAGTCCCCTTCCCCCTGTGCCTGCTCCTGCTGCCTGTCAGGGTGGTGCCTTCGGAGCCGGATCCAGCTCCTGCAGCTGGTGGCGGTTCAAGTGGATAGGCAGCGTGCCAGGGCGGCTTTGGATTACACGGCTAGAGCTGCTTCACTGGAGGAAGCAGAAGATGCTGGCGCCGAGTTTCTGTCTGTGCTTGGGCATCCCTCTCTATCCATCCTTGGGGGAGCGAGTGTGCCCCGAGCCCAGGACTGAGCTCAGCCCCAGCAGCATCACTGCAGAGTCCAGAGTGCTGTGGTGGAACCTCGGGAAAGCTCCTGGGTCAGCCCGTGGGAGCAGCCACACTTGTGGGCTGGGGCTGGGACCAGCGGGAGGGTGGCAGCTCCCAGGCACCCAGTGCTCCCAGTTGGGAGCAGGCAGGCAGCCTGGCCTTTGCCCGAGTGCCCTGGCACCAAAACACTTGCAAAACGATGGAAAAATCCCCAGTGCTTCAGGGGGGAAGGAAGCAGAGAGCCCTGATGGCTGGGGGGGCCCAGCAGTCTCAGTTTCCCCCGGGCAGGTGGCCACACTGCAAGAGCCCCTGTCTGCCAGCCTGGCGCGTCCCCAGCCAGCAGCAATCCCTCTGCATGGCCATGGGGGCTGGGGGAGCCATGGTGGGGAGCATGTCCTTGTGCCTCTCACACTGACCTGTGGCCAGCCAGGGGCTCAGTGCTGCTGCCAGGTCCTGGCACTGGGGACTGCCAGCGCCGTGTGTGTCCCGTGCTGTTTGCCCATCCCTGTTTGCTGACAGGGCGAGGCCGGCATATGTGGCGCTGGCTGAGCTGGCACTCGCTATGCAGACGCCATACGTGGAAGCAGCAGCTCCTCTTCCCAGGTGAATTTGCAATTACTTCCTCAATGTCAGGCAGCTGAAACCTGCAGCTCTGAAGGCCCAGGCAAGCAATCATCACTTCTCTGGCATGAAAAGTCACCAGACTTGTTTGTTTCTGGAAGGAGCCGGCGGTCAGGCTGCTCTTGTCACCTTTAGAAAGGCATCCAGGGTTGTGACTGGGAACAGCCACGCTGCAGTTCATCCCACCTGTGGGAAAACGTGTTCCAGGGAGAGGAGGGAGAGGGAAGGCTGCTCCAGCCCCAGGATGGCTCTGGTGGGATGTGAGCCAGGGGAGCCAGGGGCTGTAGGGGCGGGTGGTCACTGAGGGTGCAGCTGCCCCAGGAGCTGAGCTGCACAGAGGAGCCGGGCTGGGGGATTGTTCCCAAGTCTGGCTGATCTCTTGAGAATGCTGTGTTTGTCCTAGAGCCTCAAAGGTGGTGCTGTGACTGTCCCAGAAACGCTGCTCTTCATCTCCACACTGGATGGGAACCTCCACGCCGTCAGCAAGAGCACAGGGGACATCAAGTGGACCCTGAAGGATGGTGAGTAGTGACTGGGGGGCATTTGCTTACAGCCCAGCTCCTGGAGCGTGTTTGGGGTTTGGGAATGCTCCTCTGACCTGACTCTTGCTGGATGGGCTCTGGGCTGCCAATGCCTCCAGCCTGGGGTGCACTGCCAGCCCCGGCCCCAGGCACAGATGAGCATCTGCCACTGGTGTCTCTTTTGGCTCTGAAAGGCAAACAGGCTGCATGGCTGGGCTGGGTGACAGTGCCACGCTGGGTAAACAGTGGTGTTGTGCTGTCCCACTCACAGCAGCGCTGCTGATGTGGCCTCTCACTCTCTGTTTCAGATCCCATTCTGCAGGTGCCGGTCTATGTGGCAGAGTGAGTGTCACCCCCACTGGGCAGTGCAGGAGGCTCCCTGATAACTGATGGAGCAACAGCAGGAAAAGGGAACCACAGAGAAATGAAATGCCCAGCCCATGCCGTGGCATCACCTTACCCTGTCCCTGGTGCTGGCACATGGTGATGAGGAGGAGCTGGCACCTGCTGCACAGCCGAGGAACTCTCAGCTCAACTGCACACACCAGCATGGAGAGAAATAGAGGGAAATCCCCCTGAAAGCTCAGGGGCAGGCGGGGCAGCAAGAGCTCCTTGAGACAGGCAGGGCATCCACCAGCCTGGTGGGTGCACACTGGGTGGCTGTGGGAGGTCCCAGGACTGACCAGAGTGGGATTTATCTCCTGCAAAACCCAGTGCTGCAGGTGCCCAGGAAAGGTCAAGTCCTGCAGAGACTCAGCCCGGAGCAAACTGCTAGAGGGGATTCTGCAGTGTAGCCACTCTGTGTCCTCGGAGGTGCCTGGGGCAGGGGGGTTCATGTTTTGTCCTTCTCTCGTGCTTCCCAGGCCAGCATTCCTTCCAGACCCCAATGATGGCAGCCTGTATATCCTGGGAGGAAAGAACAAGGAAGGCTTGATGGTCAGTAGGGCTATGGGGCCGTGGGCACGCCGTGAGCCCTAGGGTCCCTGGGCTGCAGGGTGACCCTGCCCTGCTCCTGTGTTGCAGAAGCTGCCGTTCACCATCCCGGAGCTGGTGCAGTCCTCGCCGTGCCGCGGCTCGGATGGGGTGCTGTACACCGGTATGGAGCGCTGGGGTGTGCAGGACAGCACTGCCCGGGCTCCAGGAGCTGTGGAGGGCACAGGCAGGGCTCAGAGGGAGCTCCTGGGGACTGGGGCCTGCAGGGGCTTACAAAGAAGGCATTTTCCTTCTCAGGGAAGAAGCAGGACAGCTGGTTCATTGTGGACCCCAAATCAGGGAAGAAGCAGACCACCCTCTCAACAGAGGCCTGGGATGGTCTGTGCCCATCCAGCCCCTTGCTCTACATCGGACGCACCCGTAAGTGCCCCCATCGACCCCCTGGTGCCAGGAATGGGGCCCTGGAGGTCACCTTGTGCCCTGCTCCTGTCCCCAGAGTACGTCATCACCATGTATGACACCAAGTCGCGGGAGCTGCGCTGGAATGCCACCTTCTCCGAGTACTCGGCCCCGCTCTGCGAGGAGTCCTACCAGTACAGTGAGTGCAACTGCAGCAGCAATGGAGCAGTGGCAGTCATGGCACACAGCTCCCCAGTGCCCACTAAAGCAGGACTCTGGCTGTGCAGGGGCCTGGGGTGGCAGTGCCAGGGCCAGCGGGTCTCAGCTGTGCCCATTGCTGGGGGCAACAGGCAGCAGCCCATGGCCGGTGGTGGAACTGAGGGTGACCAGAGGAGACACAGCCGAAGTGCTGCATCCCTCATCCCTCTTGCTCTCTGCAGAAATGGCACACTTGGCCTCAAGCGGCGACGGGCTGGTGGTGACTCTGGACAAGGAGAGCGGGGAGGTCCTGTGGGCGCAGAACTATGGCTCACCTGTGGTTGGCATCTACCTGTGGCATCAGGACAGCCTGCGCCGCCTGCCCCACCTCAACGTGGCCATGGAGACCCTGCGCTACCTGACCTTCCAGTCACAGGACATCCACGTCCTCAAGTGGAGCTACCAGTCCGTCAAGGACTTCGCTGCCACCAAGACCCAGCTGCTGTAGGTGGTTCCTGAGCGGTGGCAGCCGGTGGCATTCGTGTTCCCCGTGCTCGGCCACCCTGGTCCGTGGCGGACGGAAGGTGATGCTTGTCCTTGCCCTGCAGGCCGGCGCTCTACGTGGGGAAGCACGCCACCAGTTTCTATGCTGTGACCTCCCTGGTGCACGGCAGCGTGGCGCTGGTGGTGAGTGTCCCCTGTGCCCCGCTGGAGCCACCACGGCGTGCGCGGCCGCCTGGTGCCCCACGAGCTGCCACATCCCCAGCCCCAGGGCATCACGCTGGCCAGGATCGACGGCCCCACCACGGAGGACGTGACCATGAGGGAGTCCGGGGAGTGCGAGATCATGCCCAGCACGGATGTCAAATACCCACAGGGCAGCATCGCCTCACTTCCCAACCAGTGGCTCCTCATAGGTGCGGAGCTGTGGTAGGCACAGGCTCACCCATGTCCTGGCTCCCAGACTGCCTGGGGGGGAACGCCCGTGCTGCTGTGCTTTGGGGACAATAGGCAACCTGCTCTGCCCAGTGGGGACCCTTGAAAGCAGGGCTCACAGTTACCCATGCTGGGGGTCCCATGAGAAGCAACCCCCATACTCCAGGAGAGCCAGGGCTGCTGGCAAGGGATGGGTGCTGAAACCAAGAGGTGAACTGAGGGTTGTCTCTGTTCCTCTCCTGCCACAGGGCACCATGAGCTGCCTCCTTTGGTCCACACCACGATGCTGAGAGCCTTCCCAGAGAACCTGAGGAAAACCACGGAAACCATCATCCCCAGGGCTCCTCCCAGCAGGACCGTGTTCGACCATGTGAGTGGTGAAGGGTGCTGGGTCACTGAGGGGTCTGTGCTGCTTGGGGTGGGCAGTGGGACAGGACAGGAAGGAGGTCCCAAAGCCAAGTGCCCTGCAGTCTGTGCCTCTTGTGTCACCAGCCCTGGGTGTGTGTTGCAGTTCCTGGCCCCAAGCAGCCCCGAGGAGCCAGCTGTCCGCAGCGAGGGGCAGCTCCAGGCAGACCCTGTGCCAGGGGAGCAGCTGGAGGTGTACCCCGAGTCTGGCACCTGGGACCTGGTGATGGCAGGCGTCGGCACGGCTCTGCTGGGCGGGGGAATCCTGGTCCTGCTGCTCATGGTGAGTGCTGCTGGTGGAGGGAGAGGGACACGGAGGCAATGCCCCAGCATGGCTCCAGGCTCTGAGTATTCCCGTGGTTTGTGTTGCAGAAGCTGCAGCGGCAGCATGTGGCCCAGCAGCAGCAGCTGGAGGAGCAGATACAGCTCCTGCAGCAGCAGCAGGAGATGCTGCTCTCGGGCCGAGTCTCCAGGGAGGGGGTCCCTGAGGAGCCCAGGGAGCTGGAGCTGAGCCAGGGCAGTGCCTCAGAGCTCTCACAGAGCTCCAGCCCCTCCGCCTGCCTGAAGGAGCCGGCTAACGGGACAGTCAGCCCAGAGCCAGCTGTCCCAGTGCCTGCTGAAGGTGGGTGCAGGGGGAACGGGCAGGCTGTGGGGGCTTCTGTCCAGAGATGTCAGCAGCCAGAGCAGGTGCAGGGATGCCCACTGATGAGAGGGCTGCAGCCTGCCTGGGACGGGAGAAGGTGCCAGATCTGCTGCTGGATAAGCATGGGTTACATAAGAGTAGGGCCCAAGAAATGGCCAGATGAATAGAGAAACAGGTGTCCTCTGTACAGAACTAATGCTTGGAGGCTGGAAGATGGCTGTCTTTTCTCCATTGCAGATGCAGAACCAGACCTGGTTGTAGTTGGGAAAGTTTCTTTTAACCCCAAAGATGTGCTGGGCCACGGAGCTGGAGGAACCTTTGTCTTCAGGTGGGTAACACTACTCCCTTTCTCCCTGGGAGCCACAGGGATAGTGACAAGGCAGGTCAGGGTGGTAGCCACTGATTCAGGGACTTTTGATAGCTCACCCCCTTCGCCTTCTTCTGGTCTTCATCTCACCCATCCTGGAGCTGGGCTCGTGGCCCTCATTGACCAGGCACTGGGTACACAGGGCAGGTCCCCCTTGCACCCCTCCCTGCCTGCCTGCACCTGCTCTGGCTCCTTGCACAGTTCCTAGGCTCTGGCTGAGCCCCTTTTCCAGCACTGAACACAGAAAAAGTGAGGGATGTAATTTTCCTATGACATGGAGACCCTCCATTTCCCAGCTTACACTGGGAAGATTCCTGTCGGTGATGTGACAAGGCTTTGGGGTGCAGCAGTGTGGGTACAGCATGCTGGACACCCTGTGGGTGAGGGTGGCCGGGCCCTGCCCTGCTGCACACGGGCACAGCAGGGCTCTGTGCACAGGGGGCAGTTCGAGGG